TACTTACATGCCTATAGTCATAAATCAGGTGCAGACCTTGACCCTCAAGTGTTTATGTTGGGTAAGAGAGATAAGGCTAATTACTAACTAGCTTTTCAGCTGACATCCTGAAGGCAGATGCCTGAGAAGGATGTTCAAGTGCATTGTGGGAGATTCAAGACTGGAAACCCAGCTCGGCCTGCCCCAAACGGAACGCATCTTTCCTCCCTTCCCCCATGCATTTCCTTGCTGCTTTTGTCAAAGAAATAAAGTAGTAAATGCAGGCCAGGACTGAGCTGCATTGACAACAGAACAGTTGACAAAACGCAACCCTTGCATCTACGGAACTTTCCGGTCAGTCCCCAAACTGTGCCCTCTACAAATCAGAACGCATCTGCCTAAGCCTCCCTTGAAGAGAGGACCTCAAAACCGTCTTAGATTCTCTCCCCTTCGCAGTCAGTGGGACCCCACGCCCAATCGTGCTTTTAGTCACATTCCGGTATTATCTACTTGTTAGCATTATGTTACATTAGTGCCATCTCCAAACAGAACAAAAAGCCCTTGCCACAGCGAGCGTCCACACTGCTGACAAGGCATGGAACGCCCCTATCTCAGTGCCTCAGCTTAGAAACACACCTTCATCTCTTACAAAAGAGTGGCACACTCAGAATCTCGCACCCCAAAACTCACATCCGATAGTAAGTCCAGTTTCACCTATGCTTCCCTCGTCTCCTGTAAACTATGACTTCACCACATCTGCTCTCTTTTCTGGAACATGACCTACAGTTTATGCCCATCTGTTTATACATTGATTTCTTTTCTTCTACCTCACCTTCCATCAAAGTTGCAATCAATCTTTCCAGGTCAACTTCTGGTACTTTTCCCAGTGTCTCCTACAATTATCATCCTCCCCTCTTCGTTTGAATAGTCAAAGCCTGCTGACGATACACTTTCATTAGGATTTCTAAGACACAGCATAGGGTTTTTTTTTCATGCTGACATTATACAATTTTCAGAGTGCCTTCGGAAATGTCTAACTGTATTGCGAATGTGGAAGCCTGATGAGGGGACAGATTTAGAAAGACCTTCAAGCCCACCGAGAACCACCCCTCTGAACTTCTGTCCCAGTCCATACCTACTCCCACAGCTCCATTTTCCACAAAGACAGGAGCTCAAAATTGGTTTAGTGTGTCCCTATGACCTTAGTGGTCGCATGTGGGCTTTCCTTGAATTCCTCCTCATTTCCACCTTCGGACCGGGAAGCAAGCCACCACAGTCAAATGCTTTCCTTTATAAGAGTTGCCATGGTTATGGTGCCCCTTCACAGCAATAGAAACCCTAACTAAGCCAATCTCCCTATAGTGAAGTTCTTTCTAATGCTATTCACTTAAGCTCACCCCTCACATTGCAGTATTTCCTGTAACGTGAGATACTGATTGGTTCCTGTAGGCAGTGGGATTGTAAGCTGTGGATCCCCACCTCCAACTTCAGCTCAAGGTGACCTCATATCTGTGTAGTGGTTCTTTTCTAAATTATAAAGACTCTAGTATCACAAAGCCGCAGCCGAAATAATAACCAAGGGGAGGACTTACACATCAGTGTGGTTAATCTTGGCACTGCCCCTCCACCTTAAACTGCTCTGTCATGAATTAGAAGCTTCAACTTGAGCATACAAAAGACATGTATAGAAAATTACAGAATTCATCTGAGCTGTTATCTTTGAATTTGAACATGGTACTATGGGAAGAAACTAGTCAAATGGGGACATAAACATAGGGAAATAACCAGACTGCTGAAGGAGCATGAAACCATAACACACAGAACAGATGAAGGAACTGGAGAAAGGTTGCTCAGAATAAAAAAAAATATTCACAATGGGGATGACTATATTCAAATAACATTTGAAATGGAGAATTCACACTTGTATAATAAGTCACTGAGATTGAATTAAGCTCAGCATGATATTCTAGGCATAAAGCACCCAATAATACAATTTATTTTAATATCCAAAACCAATTTTTAGATTTTTCTAAAAAGTCACAGTTGCCTCGGAAGATGATACAGTAATAAATTCCTTTCGCTAATGAAGTCCAGGGACTACCTGGTGGTCAGTCTGGGGAAGTTTATGTTCTCTTGCTCTGCCTATAAAGAGAGAGTTCTTGGAGTAGTGGGTAAAAATATGTAAATAGTATCCTTCAAGGAGGGGTGTTTTAAAAGTTGCTAGTACTCCAGTTATAAAGTGGCATTTGCTGGGGCTGGGAGACAGCTCAGGGGTTGAGAGCCTGGCTACTCCAGCAGAGGACACAGAGTCAATTCCCAGGATTTATGTGCGCAGCTCCCAACCTTCTGTAACTCCAATACCAGGGGATCCAAGGCCCTCTTCTGGCTTCTTCAGGTACTGCACACATGTGGTGTGCATACAAACCTGCAGGCAAAACACCTATACACATAGAAATATCTGCCTGCAGACCAGAAGAGGGCAGCAGATCTCATTACAGATGGGTGTAAACCACCATATGGTTGCTGGGAATTGAACTCAGGACCTCTGGAAGAGCAGCCAGTGCTCTTAACCTCTGAGCCGTCTCTCCAGCCCCCCTAAATGAGTTTTTTAAGTGGTTTTTGTCTTCTTACCATCTTGAAAGCAGTTTCAACTGATTCTATCTTCTCATAAGATTCAAGGAACATATTAAGTAGACAAATTGTTTGGAATAAATTAATATTCTGGAGGCTTTTGTTATCATTATCTTTTTAGTTTACTCCCAGCTTTGTCAGCTTATTGTAAAAATTAAATTTGTTATTTTTGGAATGAAAATTTCACATAATGGGATTTTATGAAAAAGTAATTGCCAGACAATATGAACATATTTGCTTAAGTACCTATAAAGATGGCCCAGTGGTTAAAAGTGCTGGCTGCTCTTGCGGAAGACCTGGCTGAAATTTCCAGCACCCACAAGGTGGCTCACAACCTGTCATAACTCCAGGGATATGACTCTGTCTGCAGGCTTCCACGGGCACAGTATACATATATATATATATATATACATATATACATATATATATATACATGATATGCAAGCAAATCAGTGACATACATAAAATGAAAATTAAATATTAATTACATATTCGATATGCATATTATAAATAATTAAATCATTATATATGTATTTACTATATAAATTGCATATATTATGTTTTATATATATTTAACATAGAAAAGGAAAAGGAGGCCATTACCCTATGCTAGGGTAATGACTGGTCTCAAAAAAGTTAGCAATTTTAATTTTTCACTAGTTCATAATACTTGAAATCTGATCCAAAAACTCTATGCCACTTTGAAAAGTTACATTAAAAGTAATTCTTAAAAAAAAAACGAGTTAACTGAGGGCTACCACTTCTCCAGTGTTCAATAAATATGAATGAGGCTCACTCATATAGAAGCGCTCAGAATATCCCCTTATCTGTTTGAAGAGAGCTCTGCCTAGCTTATGAGTTAGTTTGGATTGCACTCTGCATAAAACGTCTACTAAATGTGAATATGCACAAAGAAGCAAGAACAGTGCCTTGGCCCGCACTGTCTGTCTCCACAGGTTTATAATAAGGACAAAGAGTGGGTGGTTTTGAAGTGCGGGAGGGAAATATTCCCCGCACAGATGTGAGCTCGCTAGACAAATAGTTCATGCCAGGCACCAAGTACCCAAGAAATCCTAAATCGTGGCAGGGTTAAAGCTAGGTAGGCTTGTGGAGAAATACAGTCTAGGTGAGGTGGGGATGTGATACGGATCTGACAGAAGATTCAAGTCCATGAACCAAGTGGAACTCCTCATAATTGTGTAAGTGCACTCTTCCAACTGTTAAATCCTCCCATGGATATTTAAAGGCGAAAACATTCTTCCGTCTTTGTTTTCAGGTCGTTTGATTTCCATTTGCTGCATAACCATTACAGGGTAAGTCTGGGGGAGCTGCCTGTTATTTAGACTTACACGCCCAGATAATGGGTGGATTTAGGGTTCTCCTTAAGAACACTGTATTTAGGACATTCTGTCAAAATAAGCTTTGCTCAGACTTGCATTTGGAACAAGAAGCCACAAAGGACGGCCTGTGTTGGCTCACCCTACTGTGTTATTCCTGCTCTTCTGCCTGTCGAAATAACTTGTTGGTCACCTGATTGGCTGGCACACTAATACTGGCCTACAGTTTTCATTGTCTTTTTTTCTGCTTTTATTGCTTCTTAGTGAAAGATGACGTTGAGCCTAATTTTCTTGCAGATGATACCCTTAACTAGTTCAAGATTTTTGTTGTTCACATATGTGAAACCGAAGACGGAAGCATTCACTGAATGATGTCCATGTAGGTCTCATGATCACATAACTGTCTAAAAGTGTATTTAATGGCCTGTATGTTGATTTAAAAGTGACTGCAGTGAGGCCATGCATATCTACCCATATCCATAGACACTCTCATTCACCCACAGACACTTCCTCCTCCACCCATAGACCCTCTTCCTCACAAACTCCTGTGCTCTGGTGTTCTCAGGATGGGTTTTCAAAATTTCAAAACTACAAGTCAAGAATGCCCTTTTCCAAAGAACTCAAAAATGCAGTACTGATTTTGAAAGCAATTCCTTCTCTATCTAAGGTTTTCTGCTATAACAATGGTCACATTTTCAATATAAGAAGGGTTTTGACTGAGAAATGAGAAAAGAACTAGAATTAAAGATATTAGTTGAATTTTTCCAAAACTTTTACCCAGATATCCTAAAGTTTCCTTATTCGCTTTCAAATGTGCAATATAACCTGTATAAAGTAAAAACCAACTTGACAAAAGATAGTTTTCATTTCTTACTTGGCTTGGTTTAAAGAGTCAGAGAAAGCACAAAGATACTAAGACAGCATACGTGGGGCCATCTCGTGGCCCCCGAAATAACATCCAGAAGAGATGAGCAGAAACGATGGATTTAAGGACCCCCCAACTACAGTAAACCATAAATCGCTTTAAATTAGGTCATCTATAGCTTCGGGTGCTCCTGGTTTCCACACAGTCTTTATTATTTAGAAAACCCTAAATTGAAACTTTTAAGCCACTAGCAACAATTACACACACAAGTTATTCTCTAATAAAATAGCAAGTTTTAGCTACACTTTCTTTGCGTTATAGAACTGTTAGAGTCCATATTTCAGCTGTTCTGTCTGAAAGCGTTTACACTGCTGTAAAACTGAGCAGTGGCGGTTGCACACATTCATGAATGCACTGAAGCCTCCTTAAGAACAGACTTTAATGGACGGGCTGCACGGCGTTTGAATCACATACCTCAAGAAAGCTGCTTTAGAAGATGAAGCGTGGCTGTCATTACACTGAATATTAGATTATAAGTTAATTTTTCAGTCTAAAGGAGGTCTACTCTCTGAGATTTCTACTATAAGCTCTGGAAGTCTTCACACCATCTCTCTTTCCTGACACCCCTTTGTGAATATTTGCCACATAACAGGTACTATTTAACTCAGCTCTGTTTATGGACACCTTCCGTGTACCAAGGAGGTTTGAACATGAACAGAACAGGTAAAAAATTCTTGACTGAGTGGAAATTCTAATGTAGTGAAGAGTCACGGTAAAGAAACACATAAACAAACGCTGGCAGACTAACGAAAAAGTGAGGCATCTGGCCACTGCATCGTTAGACCTTAGCAAGTGGGTGTGGCCTCCAAGGTTTAGAAGCAGCCCCTCTGTCCGTTATCTGGGTACACTGCACCTCCTGTCTGGGAATCAGTCCCGGTGGGCGTGGGGGACGGTGTGTGACCATCGAAGTACTGAGGGCTGGGGGGTGTGTCTGCGTGTTACTGCAGGGAGGATCTGGCAGGGAAGGAAAGGCTGCAGCCCTCCCTCTGCTCTCCAGACACCGTTGTGGGGGCGCATGCTTCTTGCTGTCCAGGTACACTGTAGCTCTGTTGGGGTAGAAATTAGGTGATAGAAGTTATCATTATTCCAATGCAAATGAGCTTTTGTCTGCTTCTTAACATTTATTTTTAATTAAAATATAATTCCATCATTTTCCCCCTTCCCTTTCGTCCCTCCAACCTCCCCCATGTCCCCGCCCATGGCCCCTCTCATACCCTCTGCCTGCCCACTTCTCTCACATCCATGGAGCTTGATTTTCTTTATTATTTTTATATAGCAATAATATTATGCTTTTGATCTTTCATCCCCGTAGAAGACACAAGTTCAATAATTTTCCCTATAGGCTATTATTTACTAGTTTGTACTTAATTGCTAACACCATCTCAGTACTTCTAGCTGTGTTTATTATCCGTCTACTTTCCCCTTTCTGATTCTCTTTTGATATGAACATCCTATTGCTTCATGAGGCCATGGATTAACATCACACTGTCATTTCAACTTGATCATCGCATGTGTGAGAAGGGTTTTCAACAGCATGGTCAAGAAGACCTCGGTGATAGCTAGTGGAGATGACGGAGAAAGAGGAAGGTTATCAACTTGAGATAGCAACGCTCTAGGCGGAAAGAAAAGACGAAGATGGTAGGAAAAATCATGGAAGGAAAGAAGGGATGAACAAAGGAAGGAAGGAGAGAGGAAGAGAGAGAGAGAGAGACAGAGACAGAGACAGACAGAGAGAGAGACAGAGACAGAGACAGAGAGAGAGAGAGACAGAGACAGAGACAGAGAGAGAGAGACAGAGACAGAGACAGAGACAGACAGAGAGAGAGACAGAGACAGAGACAGAGACAGAGACAGAGAGAGACAGAGACAGAGACAGAGAGAGAGACAGAGACAGAGACAGAGACAGAGAGACAGAGACAGAGACAGAGACAGAGACAGAGAAGGAAGAAGCAAGTTGGTTTCTTTCCAGCTCTCACTACCTGAAAACAGTCAGTATACATTTTGGAACTCTGGAGTCAGGTAAATTTGCAGGCAAGCGTGGTGCCCGCCAATGACTTTCTTTGTAGAACAAGATGGAATCTGAGGAAGTTGATTTCGTAGACCTTGAGTGTAGTGTAGATGGGGAGGGGGGGTCTTTTGAAGGCTGGGGAGGCAGGGAGAAAGAACAAAGGCTCTGAGGTACAGCAAGAGGAAAGGGGACCTGCTGGGCTGTTGATGGTGTCACTACAAATAGCAGCAATGTACTATATAGGTGGGGTTTTTATTTTTAAGCCCAAATGAGTTTCAGATAATTATGCCATAAGGAAGTTATAATTGATGAGAAATATGTTTAGCCCCATTTGAATAGTGCATGGAATGTATAGGTACCAAACAATCATACGGGACTGCCTAAGTATATGCAATGCTGTGTGTATGTTAAAATTTGAATTGAGTGTGTGCATTAAAAGGCAAGAGTTTTCTTTTTTTAAGCCATGGGGACATTGCACAGGGAATAAAGGACCTTGCAGGAAGAAGCGAAAGACTTCTCCAATGAGATAACAGCATCCTTAGGGTAAAGTCGGCAAACGAGCAGCAGTTTGATCATGCCAGGCTTTGGGTGTTCCCAGCATGGTCACTTGAAATAAAAGATAAGTTATAATTTTCTCTTTTTTTACAACAATAATAAAACAAACAAGAAATTAATATCAATACAAGTCACCCACACTGAAAGAAACACTATAGTTTTCTGCCTAATACAGCTTTGTGTTTAATTTCATATTAATATGGTCTTGCATCGTAACTATAGCGATTACTCAAAACTGAGATAGGAATGTTTACTTTCCTAAATCACTGGAATTGGAATAGTTACAGTGAGTTTACTGTGTTACATTTTAAAATACACAGAGGCAGTTATAAATAAAGCTTGTGAATGAGAAACATTGTCAAGGTTTTCTACACCAATATTAACTAAAATTGAGAAGTTACTACCTTGTTTTATAGCCTGCCACCGAGATGAATATGATTCAGGTAGAAAACACTGATGGGCGGTATCAGGGAGTTCTCATTTCACATCATTGTGGCAGAATTGAAGAACCTTGTGGAGGGAGGCGTTTTACCTGTCAAAAGAAGACATTTCACACACCTTGGAATGCATATGGCGCAAGTTGGCTGACCTCGTTGTTTCTTAGATGAGAGATACCATTTAAACACTAGCCAGCAGAATGAACATAAAACATTTGTTTTGAGATGTCTATGTTTCCCAGTCCCCACTTTGCCCATAGTTTGTTTCCCAGCTTCTCACTTTTTACAGTAATTTATAATTTCTTCACTCAAGTTATTCTTATTTCTGCAGTTCTTAAAAATGAAAATACAATTACATCATTTCCTCCTCCCTCCAATCCCTTGTCCCCTCTCAAATTCATGGTCCTTTTTATTCTCTGATGTACATATATATATATATGTGTGTGTGTGTGTGTGTGTGTGTGTGTGTGTGTGTATGTATATGTATATGCACACAAATATATAAATACAACCTGCTGAGTCTGTTTCGTGCTACCTGTGTGTATATGATTTCAGGACTGATCACTTGGTCCTACAAAACCCATTCAGGGGTTCATGCCTGGGAAAGACAAATCTCGCATATCCCAGCCATTGTTTGTTGCTAGGGGATCTTTGTCTAGCCCTCAGTTGCTGTGAGATTTCCCTCTTCCACATTAACACGGCTGTTGTGATTGTTCTTATTCTGGTCTTACTTAGGCAGCCATATTGCTGAGGTATCGTGAGTATGCCTTCTAACATGTATTTCTCACCAGCAGTATAACCGACTAAACTAAGACTCACAAGACCATCTATATCTCCTTTACAAGGAGAATCAGCAAGACCGCTCAGTAACTTTCCTAATCTGCTCCCCACCTCCGCTTTATACCACACGAAGGCCCTACCCTCTTCCAGCCTACAGCAGTTAGCCATTCAAGGCACAGCCTGGTCTTCCAAGGATGCTTTCACCTCTTCCTTCAAATATTTTCATCACAAAGACAGTAATAAGTTGCACGTACCCTCGCTTTAGCAGCACAGACACGGGAACTGGTCAGGACGAAGCAGAAGATAGCGCAGAGATGAGGAGGTAAAGGATTAAGAGGACCCACACACGGCTGCCTTTCTAATGTCACGCATGCATGCATTTTAGCGCCACGGAGAGCTGCAAGGCAAGATGCAGGAAAAAGCCACCAAATGCTCCTCTCAGGGATCAAAGGTAGTGGCCAAGAGAAATAGGGTGAGAGCTCAGAGTAAGGACGGGAAGCTCTGGGCCTGGAGAGATGGCTCAGAGGTCAGAGCACTGAGTGCTCTTCTAAAGGACCCAGGTTCAATTCCCAGCACCTACGTGGGAATTCACAACTGTCTGTAACTCCAGTTCCAGGGGATCTGATACCCTCACATGGGCATACATGCAGGCAAAAATCCAACATACATTAAAAAAAAAAAGAATGGGACTCTCTGAGCCCTTTGCTTGCTTTAATCTGTGATAGGGTCTGCAAGAGTGCATGGTGTTTGGAATGTATACAAGGAACCAGCTACACTTCAGGGTCTGACTGGCAGAATGAGGTCACTTTATATCATCCAGTGAGACTGGCCTCTTCTGTGAGGGATCCATGAAATGTGTCACTGGGCTTTAAAAGTTAAACCAAGGAGAAAAACTAAGGATACGATATGGCTGCCTAACTTGCTGTAATTATATTTATTAACTAACTGTGTGAAAGTGTTCTTTTAAACCCTGAAGAAGCCATGTCTATGATGTCAGGACCGGACGTGAATGTCCCCGGGGTTAGTATTCATTACTCTGAACTATTTCAGTTCACCCTGGCTCTCCCTAGAAGTGTTCCCCCAAAGGGTTTCATTCTGCAGAGCTGGGAGTCAAATTCAATACTTTCACCTACTATAAGCAAGTACTCTACCAATGAGCCACACCCCAAATAAAACACATGTTATATCTATGTTTTGCAGTATTTTTTTAGGCAAGCAACCTTAAAATTTTTATAATTCAGTAATGAAGAAGAGAGAAGTGAATTATATTGCCATGCGACTATCAGAAATAACTATTTAAAAGAGGATTTATATTTGGCTCATCCTTTTCCATCTACTGTACATGATAACTAAATACTCAAAGACATAGGTTGTAATTCAAACGGTTAGTAAGAATGAACCAATTGCCACAGGCTAAATATGTTGCTACATGGCCAAATATGTTCCCAAATGAGGCAGATATTAAAATACACAAAGCTAAGCATCAGAAGTGTTGTTTTCTGACATTTTCCTGTAAAAATGAGTGCAGATTATAAGCTTTGCATATACGTCAGTATAAAGCATATTTTGCATGTAAGAGGTAGTATAATTCATATGTTACATGCTTCGCACATTAAAATGTACCTCACATCTAAGCTTAGGAAGGGAGGACATGATATCATTGGAAAGTAAAAGGGAAATAAAGCATTTGTTTTACAGAGTTTGTAATCACCCATGTGTTTTTATGCAGATCTATGGGCTTTGGAAACAATGGCTTGAAATGAAAATAAAAATAGGAAGTTTATAATTAACTCTTCTTGTCAAAACGCTTAAAGGCAGCTAACTCCGGGGAAAACCAGCACAGCTTACTGCCAGTTGGAGAATTAATTCTTTATTTTCCTCCAGACAACACCTCACACCTGTTTCTAATATTTGTTCCTTTGGACTGAATCCATGCACTTGGCTCACTGTTTTTTTTTTCCTTCTTAGCTCCGCCCACTATAGGAGTTGACACAACTACTAAACCCAGGTGGTCTAGAAAGGCATCGTTTTCGAGCTGTGGTAGACCTGAGTCGAACTGGTGGCGGCAGCAGATGTGTTGATTAACAAAAGATGCCACCCACCACCTTCTTAAAAGACGCAGAGCACATAATCCCACTTTCCCCCATTCATGCAGTTGCCTAATGAGATGCACAAATGGAATTTAGCCTCTTCAAAGACACTGATGTAGCAACTTTCAACATAAACAGGAACCAGTAGGCTCCAAGAAAAACAGGTGGTGGTACATCTCCTCTTCCGCTGCTAGTAATCCAGCTAAGAGCACCTGGCAGGGAAAGTTCTAGACGCTCGAACGGGCTCATTCCCTCAATGCTGCATAGCCTTTGCTATTTCCATTTTGTGATTAATTTTATACCATTTGGTTGAAAGCTACAGATGTGGAGATAAGCTGGGTGTAGTTCTGCATGTAGTCATTAAACAGTCACCCAGCCTTTATTCTGCAGTCAAAGCCGCCCTTATAAAAGTCGCAGCACAGTGAGAAGGGAGACTGACAGCGAGTGTCTCGGTGGGTGTGCAGTGTTGTAGTATCCCAGGGTTCCACGGCTTCTTAAGCTCAGCCAGCACAGACAGCTGGCCCCTCATGTCTGTGCGTTTCCCCAGCAGACTTCGGAATCAAAGTCTGAGAGCAGACCTTCTCAAACACTTCAGCTTCAAAACTCCTTTCTTACCCAAAGAATCAGCTCTGTTGTCGCAACGAATGCACACCAGAGTCTTACCCACCTTGCTATGCGGTATTGTGAAACCCAGTATAACAGAGTACAAGTGAAAATCGTCATCTTCCTCCCAGCATTTGGACTCCTCCACCCTCATACATGGCCACACAAGCTGCATTCCTACTCTGATGCTTTCTCACACTAGGTGTACATGATACTGCTGTTTCCGGAGGCCAGTCTGTGCAAGTGTCGCCACAGAGCCACTGTGACAGACACCAAGTCTGGAACAGAGAGGGTTGCCTGTCATCTGGCCAGGGCCTGCTATGAGCTGATTATGGCATACTGCCCACTCTGCAATTTGAAGCTCTCATCAACTTCCTTTCTCCTTGCTGAGCCAACGCTTGGACCTTGTGCTATCCTTTTTTTCTTTTCTTTTTTCTCTTATTTTCTCTTCACTTCCCTTCCCTCCCCCTTTCTTTTCCCTTTCTGCTTTGTTCACTAACTGCCTTCTTATACTGTGCCTAAGTCGTCAGTTTGGGGTGAATAAATATGGGAGGTAGTAATTAATAATAAATAATTAAGGACAGATTTTCTCTGTTTTCAATTCACAGTACTATTATTCTACGAAAGATCTTTTTTTGCATTTGTATTATATTTGCTAATGAGATAGTTGAACAAAGTACCCATAATACAGTGCTTTTACACTATGCATTTTGTTCCAATCTCATGTAAATCACTTCACTATTGTAGATTTCTAGTTATGATTTTTATGTTTGTTTTCCTTGATGCATAGACTTGGAGGAGAAAACACATTTTCTAAACTACTCTGGGCTGCCTTTGCAATTCATCTGCACCTGACTTCTGACGTTTGAAGCCCCGCTCTCCCGAATGCATTCAGAAATTCGATACCTGTGTGTGCGCCATGAATCTGTCAGTTCTCTGACCAACTGCACCTGACACTTACTGACAAATGACAGAGAAAAAAATGTTTGCTGGGTCTTAACGTATGACTTGTGGGAAAACCTCGGTCCCATTCACCCATCAACAAACGCAGCAGACATTCATCGGATAGCCTTAATGCACACACAGCGCATTACCCTAAGTGCCATTGATAAAAATGCAGACAACAGAATAACTAGCCTGGGCTCTACCTTTCCAAACAGAGCTCACTCTGTGTTCAAATATACACATCAAATAACGACAAGGTTAAAATGTTTCAGACGCAGACTGCTCCAGTAACTATTACATGGCTTGGTCACTCTTTCCAAACTTTCTTCTGACTTACTTGAATAGTTGTGATTCTACTTACAGAATCCCTAGGAGTGCTTTTTGGCATCTAGAGGAGGTTTTGTAAACTATGGATTAATGTCTACTAATAGTCAGGTCGGAAGCCCCCAAACCAAACAACACCCAAACAAGACAGCTCTCCAGTCCAGCTCCGAACCCCAGGCAAAATGCAGCCTACAGGAGCGCAGAGCGCAGGCCCTCGAGTGAAAATGAGCAGACTGGGAATGACAAGGAGTAGGGATGAGTCCTCAGTCCCAGTCCTGGGATGAGAAGCCGACAGAGACACAAGATCCACAGACCCTGCCTGTGAAAAAGTGTTCACAAAATAATACACAGGTGTC